TATCATCAAGAAATCAATATCAAATTTTTGCTAACATCAAATAGGGAAAAGGAGCCCTCCCACATAGTTGCTGAGAATATAAATTGGTGCAACCGCTATGAAAATCAGTATGGAAATTTCTCCAAAATAAAGCTAGAAATTCCATCTGACTTAGCCACTGCCCTCCTAAGGCTCTTCCAAATAGTAAAGACAGCATATTGCAGTGGGATGTGGGTATTGTGTTCATAGTATCATAGTTCATAATAGCTGAACCTTGGGCATGGCCCATATGGCCATCAACAGACAAAAGGATGAACAAAATGTGGTATTCATACATAATAGTGCTGTAGCACACCATAAAGAAGGATAAATGAGTCATTTTCAGGATGATGGGCCCAACCATGATGTTAAGAGGTCATTATTGAGATCATAGCGTTAAGTGATGGGCCAGGGAGATGGCTCAGTAGAATAAGCGCTTCCCTGGCAAGCGCAAGGGCCTGAGTTCAATCCCAAGTTCCACAAAAAATAAAATAAATAAAATAAAAATAATGTCAAGTGAAATAAGTCAGTGACACAAGCTTAAACATTGCACAATTTTTCTAATGTAAGAAACTCAAACTATAAATAAAGAACAAAGTAACAGGTATTAGGAAGCAAAGAGGGATATATTTCTCAAGTAGGGAGAGATGAAGAGAAAGCAATGGTGGAGAGAAAAGGGATGGAAAAGCAATTAGGATGTGTCATATACAGGAACCAACTTGCTGCAAGGAATGTAATCACTATATAATGGAAACATAAAAAATGAATAAATTTAAAAATCTATGATTAGAGAAAAGAGTTTCGTATTGAGTTTCAAGAAGGAATATTATATTTGAATTGTTTTTACATGGAAACATATGTCACATACATAGAATGTACAGACTGCTTGAGAATTATTATTATTATTATTATTATTATTATTATATATTTTAGGGAAGGATCTACAGGGTGTTCAAGATCTCACTACTAGATTGGACTCATAGTGATCTGCCTGTTTACAGCCTCCCAAGAGCCAGCATTACAGGCGCGCGCCACCATGCCCGGTCTCTAGTGTCTTATTTTGAAATAAGGAATTCATGTCTAATTGTAAACTTTAAATCAAAACAAGTATGGGGCACCGAAGAATCCCAATGTTCAGTTATAGCAACTTTAAGGTATATTCCATCTTCATATCATTTAGAAATTTTACATTAGCTTATACAAATTAAAAGTCCAATTTAAAAATGTTTTCAAGAATGATAAAAGGAGGATACTACTAAAGTGAAGATGTGAAATCTGAACCAAAATCTTTTGTAATTATGATCTTTATGAAAGTCAGTGTGTCTTGTTAATAGTCCTGTCTTACTGGACTTAATTAAGATTAAGTTCAGCAAGTATCTCATCCTCAATTTACAGATAGTCACAATGACACACTCAGTAATTTTATTTTACTTTTTTGTATTATTTTATTTTGCTTTTTGAAACACTGAAGATACAGCCTAGGGTCTTCATGTGGAGCTACATACCCAGACCCTTTTTAGTTCTTTTTTAAAAATTTATTTTTCAAGCAAGTGCTACCACATCCAGGTAAAATGCTGCCTGTCAGTTCTGAATAGAGTGTGGGATTTTGATTATTTAATGTTTTATTACAATGTAGGTCCTTGAAGACAGTACTTCAAAGTTTAAAATAGCTGTGTTAAAAATATTAAAAATTGGGGACCACCTGCTTGGGGCCCCTCTCCTGTCCTTCTCTAGGACAGTTCTTTCCCCCAATAAATATATTCCGCTCATGGAAAAGGTCAAAAATTATCAATTCATCATGTTTGTGGTTTTATCACCAAAAAGATTAATTTGTAATAATAAATATATTACATTAATCAACTATTTTATAAGGTGCAATTATTCATTTCACATATATCATTTATGGATGGTAAAGACTGTTGGTTCTCCTTGGTTCCACCTGGAAAGTGCTACTATTTTTCAAAGAAAATTAGACTTATAGTACTTTATGCTCAGTTATAGTTCATAAAGTATTTCTTTTTTATTTTATCAGATATTTAATGAGCACTACTGCATAAATAGCATGCCAGCTTTCAGAGTGTGATGTAGTGCTGATGACAAACTTCACAAATGAGGTCTGGAATGGTGGTGCCTGCCTCTAATCCCACATACTTGAGAGTCTGAAGCAAGAGAACCACAAGTTCAAGGTCATACTGTGCAACAGAATAAGATTTTGACTCAAGACTAAATTAAAAATTAAGGCAAGAATAGAGTGCATTAATTAAACTTCAAATGGCTGAAATGGTAGAGTACTTCCCCAGCATGAATAAGGCCCTGGAGCCATTAGAGGAATTTGGAATGATTAAGTTTGTGATTTACAGGGACCATCACTGTTTGTGTGGCTATTAGTCTAGCTGCAGTGTGCAGAATGAGCTAGAAGGGCACAATCTTCCATATAACACCTTTGGGGATCTCAGTTTCTTATATTTCTGCCCCTCATGGTATGTATTAGTGGCTGTGTTGCCTCCCAGTCTAGGAAATTTGAGGCAAAAAAAAACAAAGAATGTGCAATTGTGTCTGGCTTGGTCTCTGAAGCCCTCCTGGTCTGCCATCATAATTCTACCTTTAAGACTGTGCTTATGTTTGTTTTATGTTTAACACCCAGTATTTTAGTCATACTTAACAGTAAAAACAGAAACTTTCCTTAAGTCATTTTTCAAAATATTATTTTAAAAGTTTTATTATGTGTCTATGACTTCATTTTTCCATTGGATATGAATTCTTCTATTAAAACATACTTTTATAATAAGCAGCTCAACTGGCACTTTATCACATAGCATATCACGTAGTCTATATACAAATTGAGATTAATTTTGAATAAAATGAAAAAATTTTAAGTAGAAAATAGATATATAACAAATGGCCCAATCTGAGATAGTATTTGTTAGTGACACAGCCTCTTCAATGGGATTTTCTGGGGCCGGGGAGATGGCTCAGTGGAATAAGCACTTCCCTGGCAAGTGCAAGGACCTGAGTTCAATCCCCGGTTCCACAAAAAAAAAAAAAAAAAAAAAGGATTTTTCTAAAAAGTCAATACATAAGATGATTTTCAAAATACTTACCTTGCATCACACAGGCCAACATTATTAATGCAATTGCCTAGCAGTCAAAAATGAGACGGGATAGTACAGCACCATGCAGCATACTGTTGGTCGTGCAGAGGAGTGCTGAGGAAATATGAAGGATATTGTTTCATAAACAACTACTTGGGGAAAAATAACACCCATGTTTTTCTCCTGAGAATTCTTGTCAGAAAAAAAATGGTTTGATTTAATCCAATGCTTAATTTTATCATGAAATTATTTTATCATGAAGATATTTTCTCATTTACTGCCTGTAGAACACAATTTATGAATGCTCTTTTGAATGCTTTTCCACTAAACGACTCTTCTGCTAAGTCATCTCTTGTCCATATCTTTTCTGTCAGCTGATAGCTAATACACTCAAATATAATTTAGTCTGGAAAAAGACATGTTCTCTATTCTACTGTGTTTAAGAAAATTGATACTTTTAAAATTAAATCGTGAGATATTAATACTTTCATGGATATGCGTACATATCTATGTTAGATCCCTATCAGCAACAAATAATAATAATCAATTAGAAAATATAAAAAAGCTTTCAGAGCAAACATTGCATGCATATTGTCTACATTGGCATCACTGTCAACTAGCAGCAGCTCTTTGTTGAGAATTTTGCAACTAGATCATGAGTCAGATAGAAACAAAAAACTTACTACAAAGTTGCAGTGATCACAAGATGAATAAACGAAGACTTGTGAACTAAGAATGCTGTGCTTCTTGAATGGGGTAAAATTCCCAAGAAATTATGCAGCATGCTAATCTAATTCCTCTTTCATATTTTGGAGTGTTCTTTTACTAATAGAAAGAACATAAAATGCAGAATCTTTTTCAATACTTTTGCTATTGGCATTAAGAAAAGAATATAGTGTGAAAGTAATAAAGTAGAAGGGAATATAACATATGTCTAAGAACATAGTCTATGCTGTTTTACTATATCATAGTGCAGCACTGAAGTAACTCATGTGTTAGGGTTTATATCTAAAATAGCCAATAAAATTATCATGTATGTGGAAAAGGATTGGATCCCAGGGGCACAACACTTCTCAGTGAACTCATCCATTGATATATTCAGCAGCTGAAAGTGCTGTTAGGAGTTCCTAACTTTTTAGAAACTAAAAAATTAGTACAAACTTGCAATGATCACAAGATGAATAAATGAAGACTTGTGAACTAAGAATGCTGTGCTTCTTGAATGGGGTAAAACTCCCAAGAAATTATAGAGCTTGCTAATCTAATTCCTCAAAATAAATTACTGAGGAATTGACCAGGGATGGAGAGATGGCTCAGTGGTTTAAGTGTTTGCCTGCCAAGCCCAAGAATCCAAGTTTGCTCCTGCTACCACATGCCATGCTGGCCCTGGAAATTAGGGTGTACCTCCATGCCAACTCAAAATCAGGTGTAGTGGTGCACGTCTGTCGTCCCCACTCTGGGAAGGCTGAGAAACAAGGTTCACTATGAGTCTGAACTGCATAGTGATATCCTGTATCCAATAACTTAAAAAAAAAAAGAAATGACCAGTGATTGGCCAGTTGGAAGAGTTGGTTCTTGATCCCAAATCTTCCCTTCTCTCTGTACATGTTGGTCATCACAGTGATCCAGCAAAACATCCTGCTCTCACCTTAGAGCTTGCTGAAAGTGGCCTGAAGAAAAACAGCCAAACAAATATCTTTCTTTAAGTTGTGATAGTTGGGTATTTGGTCTCAGTGATGTTAAAGTGATTAAAACTGATTTTTGCAACAGAGAATTGTAGTAGCTACTGTGACTGCACATGAGTATGTAGGTCTAAAGGCTTTGAAAGTGTTTTCCAGGAAGAATTTGTCAAAGTTTGTAGATTCTGGCCACAGAATCCCTACAATGCTATAACTGAGCTTATGGGAGATTCTTGTCAAAGTAGATAAGGCCAGAATTCTGACAGGAAGTCAGTCAGTAAAGAATTAGCTTAAGATGTTTCAGTAGGAACAAGAACCCCATATAGAGGTGGACTATATGCATTGTACAGTTGAAGAAAATTTATCTTTATTTTGCCCATCTCCTAAAATTTTGTGGTAGACTGAGATTAAGAGTGATAGACTAACCTGGTGGAGGAAATTGCAAAGCAGCCTAATGTTCAGACGATGGAAGGGGCACTGCTAGTTGACTTTCACCAGATCTGTAGTGAAAGTCAGAAGTAAGAAACCAATCTTAAAGGTTTAGAATTTCATCATAAATACAGTTCTGAAAACTTAGGGCAATGGACATTTTGGTTTCTGAAAACATTAACACCAAAAAGAATTCAAACACTTACATTAGAGTCATGAGATGTCTTGAAGGCATTTCAGGAATCAACAAGACTATAACCTTCCTAGACTTGAGGATGAAAAACTATAAAGATTATATTTGATAAGAGAGTCCTTGAACCCTCTATGCAAGAAAGACTGCTGAAGAATTATTACTGTGGTATTTGTCTCTCAGTGCTTACTCATCCAGGCACTGAGAGCTCATCCCCCAAGGTGGCCTAATTAATGATTAGGATAGCAAGAAACCTTCGCATATATCATATGGTGCTTTTTTTTCAGGGATGCAGAATGCAAAAGTTTGGGATCAGAGAGGTTTCCAGCCACATATTAGAAAATAGACTGGGAGATCAGGCAGTTTTCCCCTGAGGGTAATGCATAAAGCTATGAGAATGAAACTGAAAGTGCAGTGGAGTTGGTTATGACAGGAAGGCGAATTATGCACCGAGGAAAGCCACGGGCAGTGAATGTAACCACCCAGAGAAAGGCTGCACCCTGAAATTGCATAGATTCAAGGCCACTCAAGTTCTTAGGAGCTCATGTCTCAGCATGACCTCTCCTGGGTGTTGGACATGGAATTTTCTCATTATTCCCTACTGGTTTTGGTCTTGTTCTCACTCCTATCTCTGCAATGATTTCTTTACAAGTGGAAATATTTACTTTGTGCTATTATACTTTCCAAATACTTAATTTTATTATTAACTTTTAGAGGAGCTAACAGTTGGAATTTGCCTTGAGTTTCAGAAGAAAATTTCATTTTGAAATATTTAGCTGTTAAGACTGGTGACTTTTAGAGATGGACTAAGTGCATTTTATATAACTTAGTAGATATGAGTCTTTGGAAGTCCAAGGTCATATTATGTTTTAGATCTGAAATAGTCCCTGAAAACTCTCATGTGTGTGGAAGGTACAGTGGTACCTAAGTTCAGGAATTTAACTCATTTCATGATTCTGGTGAACTTTCCTGCTCATGTGCTCAAGATGGCTGTGATATTGCTTGTCACGGGATGTGGAGTCATGAACAGAAGCAAAATTTGTTGAAACAAATTGCTCACAAACTGAAGCACTGTGATCAAGAAGGGTCTGTCTTTGTACCCAGATCTCTTCTTATTGGCTGCTTCCTCACCACTGGGGACTTAGCTGCTTTCCTCTACCATGTTATTACCTGGTACCTGCCAAATTGGTCTGAAATTTTGACCCAAAATAAACCTTTCCTCCTTTATAAATTGTGGATATTGGGTGTTTTGTTCCAGAGAGAAGGAAGTGACTAAGACACCATAAAAAGAGCCTAACCTTAACCATGGTACATAAACATCATATCTATAGTGTGAAGACTAAAAATTAGACAATTAAAAATAATAAAACTACATTAATGTGTTTTAAAAAGACAATATACAAAATGGACCATCGAAAATTCAAAATGTGAAAAGGAATGAGCTGGTGGAGTAAAACTTGCTATAACTACACTTGTCTTCCCTTATTATTTTATCTTTATCATCATATTAAGTTTTTATAACTTCAAATTAACTTTATATAATCAAATTATATTTTCATAAGTCTTATGGTGATCATAATGTAAGAGGTTTTGCTACATAAACCAAAACAATCCACAAAGAACCAAAACAGTACTAAAATAAATCTCTAAACCACAGAAGAATAATGTGTGTGGGGTGTGTGTGTGTGTGTGTGTGTGTGTGTGTGAGAGAGAGAGAGAGAGAGAGAGAAAAAGGGAGAGAGAGAGAGAGAGAGAGAGAGAGAGAGAGAGAGACAGAGACAGAGACAGAGACAGAGACAGAGACAGAGACAGAAATTATATAAAACTAAGAAACACATTATACACTGACTGACTGTGGTAAAACTTACCTATTGATAATTATCTGACATATGAATAGATTAAGATCTTCATTAAAAGACACAGAATAATCAGATAGTTAAAATTAATGTCTAATTACAGTTGCATATTTAAAAACTCATTTAGTATTGAATTTAATATTGAAAGACACTCATAGACTGAAGGTAAGAAGGGAATCTTTCTCTTTTTGGGGGGGGAATGGGGATTGAACTCAGGCCCTTGCACTTGCCAGGCAAATGCTTATTCTATTGAGCCATCTCCCCAGCCCTTAAAATGATGGATCTTTCTTTCTTTTTTTAAATTTTTTTCTGTTTTTTTTTAAGAGGGGGAATAAGATATTCCACACAAATAAAATCCAAATGAAGTCAGTCATATTTGTATTTCATAATATAAGCTTTAAAAGCATTGAAAAATACAAGAAAGATCATTGTATAATGATAAAAGTATCAATTAAGCAAAAGAAAATAATTCTGAATACATATGCAAACAACACAGAAGCATCCAAATATATAAAGCAAATATGAAGAGGTTTAAAGGCCGATAAACTCAAATAAAATGATAGTAGAAGATACTAACCACACACACACACACACACACACACACACACACACACACACATTTTCAAAATGGATGCATCATTCAGAAAGAAAATCAACAATGAAACATCAGGGTTAAACTGAACCCTAGATGAAGACCTAGCAAACTTCTACAAAACATTCCATGTAACAACTTCAGAATATGTCATCTTCTTATCATCACATGGGGCTTCTCCTAGATAGATCATAGGATCACCCACAAAAGTCTCAACAATTTTTTATACTTATATCATACTGAGTATCTCATTGGACCACAATTCCAAAAACCAGATATTGTTAATAAGAAAAACTTTCAAATGTATGTAAGTATACTGCAATTGGGCAACCAATAGCTCAGTGAAGGCATAATGAAGAAAAAATTTAAAATTAGCAAAATATTTAAAATGGAAACTCTACATAATAATACCCATGGATCAAGCAGAGTACTAAGAAAGAAAGTAATGGCAATCAATAGCTTCATTAAGAAAAGTCACATTCTTAATAAGCAACTTACTGGTATACTTCAAGGAACTAGAAAAGATAATAACAATCAAACTGCAAATTACTAAAAGAAAAGAAACAATAAAAACAAAGAAATTAATTAAACCTGGGCTACATCAACCATACAGATCAATGAATTGAAGAGCTTGTTCTTCAGAAGACTAGACAGAATTGACAAAAATTAATTCTCAATTAAATAAAAACAGAGATGAAAAGGAATACATTATAACTGATATCAGAAAAATACAGACATCCATAGAATTTATCATGAATCAGTGTATATCCAAAAATTTGCTAATGTAAAAGAAATAGAAAAATTCCTAGGCACATACTCCTTACCAAGATAGACTTGAAAAAAAAGAAAACTGCAATGAACCAAAATTGAGTAATGTGGTTGAATCACTTAATAAAACTGCTCCCAATTTAAAATAAAAAGATTTAGGACAGGATGGTTTCCCTGTTTTATTTAAAAACTTACCAAAATCTGGGCCAACCAAATAGCTCAGCAGATTAAAGCTCCTGCAAGCAGGCACGGGAGCCAAGGTTTGATCCCAGGGCCTGCCATGCTGGCGCCACCCCTGGGGCGCACTGAGAAGGCAATTGAGATTGGGCATGGTGGCACGCACCTGGAATCCCACCTCTAGGGAGGCTGTAAACAGACAGATCACTACAAGTCCAATCTAGCAGTGAGACCCTGAACACTGGTGTTGAAGGTCTCAAATATGATCTGGGTTATCTTCTCACAGTTAGCCCTGGAGTTCAGGGGATCCTTGTTCAGCAGCATAGGGTCCTTGGGAGCCACACACAACTCGTTGTAGAAGGTGTGGTGCCAGATCTTCTCCATGTCATCCCAGTTGGTGACAATGTCGTGCTCAATGGGGTACTTCAGAGTCAGGATGCCTCTCTTGCTCTGGGCTTCATCTCCCACATAGGAGTCCCTCTGACCCAGGCCTACCATGACACCCTGGTGCCTTGGGTGCCCCACAATGGAGGGTACACTCTTCAAAAAGAAAGAAAGAAAGAAAGAAAGAAAGAAAGAAAGAAAGAAAGAAAGAAAGAAAGATTACCAAAATCTAATGCCAGTTACTCTTAAATTATTTTTTAAAAATTGAAAGGGAAGAAGTTATTTCAAATTAAGTGTAGATTGATAGCCTTGAAACAAAGGCAAAAATTCTCATCAAAATATAAGCAAATAAAATCCAACAGCACATTAAAAAGACTGTAGACCATGATAAAGTAGAATTTATTTCCAGAGTGAAAGGATGGTTATTCAAATAAAAATTATGACAAAACCCACATTATCATCTCAATAGATGCAGAAAAAGGATTTGATTTTTTTTTAGATGTGCACTTTTATTGAACTGATCTCAAGTAGTGTACAGGTAAGCCCTGGCTGCCTCCACACCTCAACTCACTTCCAGGGAGAACAAAAGCCTTCACACATCAAGTTGGGGGACAAAAGGGAGGCCATGATGGCTGACCATTCAAAATAAAACAGTATTATTAAGGCGAAGATTTAAAAAATTTGCACTACATTATTTACACGAAAGAAAAGCAATGCTGTCACCTCCCCTGCATGGATTCAGGGAGGCCTGAGCCCTCCTCCGTGCAGAGGAGTGGGGCAGCTTTTGGGAGGGTGAGGCACTTTCTGTAACAATGCATCTCAGGATATTAGGAATGGCTAAAAAAAAAGTACAAAGTCCTCGGCCACATTGTAGAACTTTGGGGATGCTCACTCTAACCGACTGTTCCAGTTTTTAAATCCTGAGTCAAAAGGGCAAAGAGAGAGAGAGAGAGAGAGAGAGAGAGAGAGAGAGAGAGAGAGAGAGAGAGAGAGAAACAGAGCCATGTCAATCTCATCTGGTTTTCTGCGTGCAAGTTAGGTTTTTGTCAAGAAAGGGTGAAACGCAGTGAAGTAACAGTCCGCCTAGACGCATTTGCGGTGCACGATGGAGGGATCGACTCATCGTGCTCCTGCTTACTCATTCACATCTGCTGGAAGGTGGAGAGCAAGGCCAGGATGCAGCCGCCGATCCGCTAAGAGTACTTGCGCTCATGGAGAGCAGTGATCTGCCGAGAGAAGGAACAGTCATCCAGAGGCCCCGGATGCCGCCACGCTCCCCCACTGGAGGCCGCTAGAAACAGCAGCCCTGATGGTAAGGGACACTCATCTTGATCTTCATCGTGCCAGGGCCGTGATCTCCTTCTGCATCCTGTTGGCGATGTCTGGGTACACGGTGGTACCACTAGACAGCACTGTGTTGGCATAAAGGTCCTTGCGGATGTCAACATCACACTTCATGATGGAGCTGTAGTTTCATGGATATCACAGGACTCCCTGCCCCGGAAGGAGGGCTGGAACAGAGCCTCTGGGCAGCGGAACCGCTCGTTGCCAATGGTGATAACCTGGCCGTCCGGCAGCTCATAGCTCTTCCCCAGGGAGGAAGAGGAGGAGGAGGAGGCAGCGTTGGCCGTTTCCTGCTAGAAGTTCAGGGCAACATAACACAGCTTTTCCTGAAGTCAATCGGTTTTTCCTGATTTCCCGCTCAGCCGTGGTAGTGAAACTGTAGCCACGCTCAGTCAGGATCTTCATGCGGTAGTCTGTCAGGTCCCGGCCACCCAGGTCCCGACGTATGATGGCGTGGAGAAGGGCATAACTCTCGTTGATGGACACAGTGTGGGTGACTCCGTCACCGGTGTCCATCACAATGCCAGTGGTGTGGCCAGAGGCATACTGGGACAGCACAGCTTGGATGGCCACATACATGGCTGGAGTGTTGAAGGTCTCAAACATGATCTGGGTCATCTTCTCACAGTTAGCCTTGGGGTTCAGGGGAGCCTCAGTCAGCAGCACAGGGTCCTCATCAGAAGTCATACGCAACTCGTTGTAGAAGGTGTGCTGCCATGTCGTCCTAGTTGGTGACAATGCCGTGGTCAATGGGGTACTTCAGAGTCAGGATGTCTCTCTTGCTCTGGGCTTCATCTTCCATGTAGGAGGCCTTCTGACCTGTGCTTACCATGACACCCTGGTGCCTTGGGGAAGACAGTGCTGGGGGCATCATCTCCCATGAAGCCGGCCTTGCACATGCAGCAGCCATTGTCGACAAGGAGCGCAGCGACATAGTCACGCATGGCGAGCTGGTAGCAGTGTGGACCAGCGGCAGAGAAGCAAGGGGCTGTACTCCCGAGCTGGACGCGGACTCAGCCGGGATTTGTAAAATTCTGATGTTACTTTATGATTAAAAACTCTGAACAAATTAAGTTTAGAAGTATACTCTAACATAATAAAGACATATATAAAAGCCTAACAGCCATTGTCATGACAGCAATTGAAAATTTTCCTCTAAGATCTGTGACTACTTTTACCCACATTCATTCAGTATAGAACTTGAAATCTTGGCCAAAGTAATGAAGCAAGATAAGACAATAAAAAAGTACCCAAATTTAAAAAGGAGATGTCGCTTTGAGACTATTTGAGATTGACATCTTACACATAAAAACTTAAAAGGTGCTTCCAAAAAAATTACACCTAATATTTGTAATTATGAAAAGTTCACAATACAAAATCAACATGCAAAAATCAGTAATGTTGTTATACACTACTAGTGAATTATCTGAAATGAAAATCAAGAGAGTAATATCATTCAAAATAGCAAACAAACAAAACTTTGTAAAAGTGTAGGAATAAATTTAACCACAGGTAGAAGATCTCTACAATGAAAATTTAAAAAGGATGACAATTTGAAATGGACTTAAAAAAATCTTAAATGGACTTAAAGAATCTTAAAGTCTTAATGAACTAGAAGATTAAATAGTCAAATTTTTCATATTATCCAAAGAAATTTGCAACTTCAATGCAATGTCCATCAAAATATCAATGATATCCTTCATAGCACTAGAAAAAGTAATCCTGAAATTTATATGAAACCATACAAAAAAATGCCAGAACAATCTTAAGCAAAAGTACAAAGAAGTTAGTGTGTTACCTGACTTCAAAATACATTAGACATATTAATATGATGAGCTGTAAAAGGCTCAAGTCAATAACTTCTGAGGATAACCCACTAATATTATAGACTTCTAGACAGTGTTAGATTGTTTAGTTGAATTCAAACATCTATAGTATTTAGATGCCAAGAGAATATTCACCTCTGACAGGACAAAAAAAAAACGATACAAAGGAAAGATCATTTTGTATTTATATATACAAAATAGTCAGGATAAATTTACAGCAACTTTCGCTTAATTCAAAGAGAAGAAAGAAGTGTACTAACAGTGTTTGGACAGAATATCCTGTCTGCTTCTTGTACTATGGATAACCACTAAGAAGATAACAATGTACAGTGTATTGACTATCAAAACTGTCCTGTTAATCAGCTGTGAAACTGTCTCATTCATATTTATTTCTCTATAAAAAATAAATTTAAAAAATACATTAGAAAGCAACAGTAATAAGTTATTGCATTTGTTATTTCTAAGAGCTTTCAATGTTCTTTGAATTTTCCTTATATAAGGTCATATCATCAATCAATAAGCACAATGTAACTTCTTTTCTATTCTTCTAATTCATATAGTAATTAAAATAACAACTTTGCTTTTATTGGCATGAAATAGATACATAGGTAAGTGGGTTAGAATTGAGAATATAAACATAGATTTACATCTTAACAGTGAATTAATTTTTGTAAAATTTTAAAGAACACACTTTATGGATAGGACAAGCTTTTAAATACATAGTACTGGGAAAATTGAAAATCCACTTGCAGAACAATGAAACTAGACCTTAGCTCTTACCAGTTACAAAAGTTAACTCAAAATGGATTAAATACTTAATTGCAAAGCCCAAGGCTATGAAATGCCTTGAAGGAAATATAGGGGGAAATTCAAAACAGTGCAATGACAAGACCCAAAGGAAAAAACAGCAAAAATGATAAACAGGAGCACACCAAATTAAAAAGCTTTTTAAAAGCAATATGAATAATCAACAAAGCAAAGAGTCAAGCTATGGAATAGGGAAACATATTTGTAAACTACATATGTAGTAAGGGATTAATGGCCAGAGATTCAAATAACTCGGTAACAACCTGATTTTAAAATAAGCAATTGACCCAATTTAACATATATCCAGAGAAGACAAAGAAATGGCCAATAGAACTATGAAAATATGTCCAGTATCACCAAAAAAATTGAAATTAAAAACCACAATTAAAAAATAGTTTGCTCCAGAAATAATGGTCACAATTTAGAGAACTAAAGATAACAAAGGCTGGTGAAGATATAGAGAAAAGGAAATCCTCTTACAGTCTTTATGAGAGTGAAAATTAGTACAGCCATTAGGGAAACAGAGTGGATGTTCTGAAAAAAACCTGAAAAATAGAACTACATGCAAGTCAAAGTCCCAGAACTGTGTATGTATACAAAAGAAATGAAAATACATTGAAAAGACATTTGTGTTCCCATGCTCCTTGTGATTCTATTCACAGTAGCCAAGAAATGGCAACAATGTAACTGTCCATCAACTGATGAATGAACAAAGAAAAGTTGGTGCATATAGACAATGAAATACTGTTCCATCGCCAATAATGAAATCCTGCCATTTGCAGCAGCAAGAATGGAACTGGAGTTCATAATGGTAAGTGAAATAACCAAGACAAAGTACCCAATGATCTCATGGGTATGTGGAGTCTTAAACAAGTTGATTTCATAGAAGACGAGAACACAATAGGGGCTAGCATAGCCATGGAAAAGTAGAAGGAGGAAAGGAAACTGGAATTGTTAGTCAATAGGTATTAAGTTACAGGAAAATAGAAGCAAGAAGTTCTTGGTGAGCTATTGGACAGTCCAGTAACTTGATAAAACACTAGGGGGGCTGGAGAGACAGATCAGTGGACTAAATACCTGCCTGGCAAGTGCAAGGTTCTAAGTTTGATCCCTGGTACCACCAAAAAAAGTCATAAAGTAATAAAGTATTGTACATTATAAAAGCTAGAAGAAGGGATTTTGAGTATTTTGACCATAAAGAAGTTGTAATTGTTTGAGGAAACTAGATATATTTACTAAGATTTAAATATTATAGAATGTATACATGTATCAAAATGTAACATGATACCCCACATATATGTACATCTTTATGTTCTTCTATATCTTTTAAGATGATAACTTTAAATGAATAAGACAAATATTACAAGATAAAAAGTGAAAACAAACCATTCCACATCTTTGAAAATTAAAAAAAAGTTATTGAAATAAAAGTCCTATAAATTATCCTTGAGTTCAGGAATTCTTAAATTTGAAGAGAGTGATAAAATATTCACTATGAACATGGAACAAAGGGCTGAAACAAGAGAAAGGAGAGAAAAGGAAAAAATAGGTGAGAAGAAGGAGTGGAGGGAGCAAGGAAGATATTTACAGACAAAAAGCTGAACATATCCAGGAGACATTGAATAGGTAGGAATTTCTCCACCACCTCCTTCACACCCAACATCAGCAACCCCTGCCCCCCCACTAAAAAATAGAAGTCACATTAAAAGAGTTAATGCCTATTGTTTCTTTTTCTAAACTGAAGAAATAAACCATATCTTAAATTTAAAAAAAAATCAATTCCCAAGAAGGTATTTTCTAAGTTCAGCTAGTAATGTCATAGTGAAATATAAAATTTGAGTTACCAAAAATACAAGTTCCACTGGCAAAAGACATACTACCAAAATAAAAATAAATTCTGGAAAATATAGCAATGACATTTCAAATA